TTCGGCATGTGCCACTGAGACCTTGTGGGTCACGGCGAGACCATAAATAATAGCCTATTAAGAGAAAAGGATTTGTACATTGTGTGAATATTTTCTAAAATATTTCAATCTACAAATACAAATAAATCTATATTTTTGTATCTATTTTGAAAGTGTGGAGCAGCTGGGGATAACATTACCTCTGGGAATAGAACATCCATCAAAAAGTCCACCTCATCCACAATGTTGTTGGGAGTTCCTTCTCGATCTGCGATGCCCCTCAGATGTCTATAAAGGACATCCCGGTGTTCCTCTGTGTCCAAGTAGACAGGCACCCTCTGGCACTCATGTTTAAAATACCTTGGTTTGCCTTTGAGTACATCCTATTGACAATTTCGTGGAAATTGCATAAGTGGCCTGTGTGGTCATTTTGTGAATTCAAATAGGCATCAAATGCCAGTTTCTTTTAAACTATTTAGAAATGATAAAGCTTGATAAACAAGTCGCATATTTTTCTGTTGGTAGTGAATAACATTCCTCAATATACAATGTAAACCTTCAGTTAAGGTTAAAAAAAAAGAAAATTTGCAAAATACCACGATATGCTGCTCAGCCTCTCCGGACTGCACAATCAGGTCCACAAGTTGCTTCTCCTTTGCAGAGCGGTCAGCTGCAACAAGGACATGGTCTGGGCATTTTAAAGTGATGCCTCTCCCTCTTGGTACCCTGTATACAGGGGCTTTGAGTCCTTGAAGCAATGCTCTCGCCTCATCCGTCCAAAATGCGAACCGCTGTCCATGACTTGAAAACAAGACAATTATTCTTCAGCATTGTATTGGAATGATGTCATACTTTTGTGAGTTCTGTTATGACACTCCTGTAATGTTTTATATATTCTGCCAGTACACTTTTAAAGATGTATGATCAAAATTAGCACACATATGAAAGGCTGTCATACCCCTCGATTTCAAAACGTTCCATCAGAAACAGACACCACCATTTTCTGATGAGTGGCATGTCCATCTGAAAAAATTGTTCACGACGAGTCTTAATCGTTCAGTATACATCATCTTGAAATTAATAGTTTGAGGCAACATTGCCTATATTTTTTGTTGCAGTAAATGTTGTTAAATGTTATTTTATCTTGCCTCTTGGAACTCAAACCCAGTATTGAGGAGAAGGGACAGCGTATACTGGAACAGAGTAAGTAGTTAAGCAGTGTCTTCACAATGTTTTCAGACACCAGCATAAAATAACTCAAAAAAATGTGTCTAACCATGAGGACAAAAATCCCACAGTCGTTACTCCTGAGCTGGCGTGGCAGGTTCCCCATATCATGTCCGGTAATTTCTGTCCATGGCCCTGGGTCAATTTGCTGTGAAAGATTTCTTTTGGGAAAAACAAGCATATTTTGACATAGGAATAACTTGCATTAAGTACACACTATTAAAAACAGTAGGAACTTCCAGTACAGGCTATAGGAACGTGCCAAATCTTACCAGAATCAGGCTATGTATCTTTTTTTATTGCTACTGTCAAAAGTATTAGGGATCCCATACGACGTTGGGTGTTTTTCCCAGTGCTTTTTAAAGTCACAAAGAAACGAGGAGGACATTAATATAGAAGTACAGGGAAAATAATGTTACGTAAAATTCTGCATTAGCACAGATGCGTTTAAATCTAATATTTTAAACTGATCAACATGACACAATGCGCAGTCAATTTTTAATTGAATGCACTTAAAGTCACAAAGAAACGAGGAGGACATTAATATATAGGTACAGTACAGGGAAAATAATGTGACGTACAATTCTGCATTAGCACAGATGCATTTAAATCTAATATTTTCAACTGATCAACATGACACAATGAGCAGTCAATTTTTAATTGAATGCACATATTTTGCGCATTTCGCACTTCTTTGACGTAGCCCAAAGCCCTTTAAAAAATGACCAGTATTTACCCATTCACAAACTACATATATTCATCCGAAATTTAATTATGAATGTCAACGTCGTTTTGACATTATCATCTAATTAATGAACAACTAGGCGTGCTAAAACATTTCATCCTCACTTGCGCTATATATTCTATGGTCGAGAGAATGTGAGTGTAACCGGGATTAAAGTTAGAATAAAGTTTTAATTGACGCTCGTCGACTCAATATTACCGTCGTAGTTGTTGTCGTGCATTAAAATAACACAACTCCGTTTTACTTTTAGTTGATTTTGCTGTTAAATTATCTTACAATTACAGGGCCTTTTAAACTTTTTAAGATCCACATGCGACTTACTTCGGAATCGGGCATCATTCTTCTGACGTCATATCCGGCGCAAAGTTACTTGCCTAAACCTACCTTTGCCTGAATCGGCCTCCTCCGGGTCTGCAGCTGGACCCTTCTCAGACTGGTGGTAAAATATCGCAAGTTGAACCTGCAGCATTCTATTGGCAGAATGAGCAGTCTGAGGTCACAAGAGTGGTGGTCACGTCGATGATTTTCTTTGGGCAGGGTCAGAGCACATAATTTCTGATTCTGTCCCTGTACTTAAGTCTGCTTTTCACGTGGGCTGTGAAGAACTTCAGAGTTTGAACATTTAAAATGCTACAGTTCAGTCCGTACATAAGGCCAACTAGATAAACTAAAGTCAGAGAAGGTCAGACTTAAGTTTTAGTATTTGGGCAACAGTGATGATTTGAGTTTGGCTGTCTTCAGTCATACTTCGCTGACGGAGGCACTCAGGGAGGGGCTTTAATTGCTCTCATGGGAAAAATAGGGAAGTTCTCATCTCTGTTTTGGCAATCTAAGAAAATCAGACCTGTAGTAAGGAGGATATTGGTGTGGTCTTGAAAATGCCATGTTCTTGGCTACTGTGGAAATTGTAGAACTCGAAGAAAGCGACAATTTCTCACGTGCGCACTCCGAGAGAGAGTGTGTCGTGTTTTTTTATTTGCACCACAAAAAGAAAAACACTCGCGCCAAACGAAGCCCGCCGAAAGTAAGTTTCCATAGAAACAAGCAGACTAAAATGGCGGTCCTTAAAGGGACTGCAATTATTTCTACCCCGTTACCAAATAATCGTGAACTCTCTGACAAGCATATGAACATTGCATTCACACATTTGCAGTTGGTGGTGAATTATGTGCATAGAAGTCACTACACTACATTCTATTCTGAGATCACCGTTGGAAAAGTTGATCTGAATACTCTTCCTCTTATCTGTTTCACTGATAACAATATTCTGTGTGATGCTCTTAAATCGACGTGATTCCTATTTCTTGTTTGTTTTTTGTTTTCGATTTCTTTTTTTCTCTCAATTGCTTGTTTTGTGTTTGTGATCCTTTTTCTTGTGTGCATGTTTTTTGCTTGCGATTCCTTTTTATTGTGTGAGTTCCTCCCCCAGACATTCTTTTTTCTTCTTTGCTTGTTTTTTTATGGTTGTGATTTGCACTTCAGAGCCACCGTACTGAATGAATAGACGATTAACATCCGCTCAAAAAGTGTTGGTCTTCAGCCCACTGGAACAACGATTCAGTGACTGAGTGTGCCAGATGACATTCCACGTTGATTTGACGTAGCATTATTACAACATGACACTGCTATCTGTGTGTATCGACTGTTTTTGATTGTTTCCTTTGTTTGTTGCTTTTTCTTTTTTATAAGCAATGTTTCAATCGTTGAATTAAAATGAATTACCGAATCCAATCGCTTCTCTGTAATTAATTTGTCTCTTTCACCAGATATAGAAGTCCCGCCGAGTCTCAGTTCTATGGGCCTATATTTCCGGTTTAAACACAACAGAATTCGTAGATTGGCCAGAGAGACATTCAATCACAGTAACAACAAATGTTATTGGTGCGCTCTACTTGTTCTTTTATTTTGGAAGGGGCTTCGTTTTTCAGTCTCTGTTGGCTGGACAGGGTTTTGTGACCAGACCACTGTCTTGGGAAACAGGCATAGAACGAGTTTCGTCGTGCAGTTTTGGAGACCAATGCTCAACTTTCAGGTGATTTAACGTTACCTTTGGAATTGTGAGTGTAGTAAACTAAATGAATGTCGATTGTTTCTCAGTAGTACGTCGACCTCGACCAAATTCGTGTAGACTGCACCGTATAACTGCTCTTCGACAAATTAGCCTACAATTCGATAGTATCATTTGACGGCGCTTGCTGAACTTAGCACACGCTGAGTGACAGTCCATCCTTCTTGTCAGGCAATGGTAAATTGCGGCACGTTCTTGGCCTCTGCCAGCAATATTAGTCCATTTCAAAGTTTGCGACGTTTAGCAACATCTGAACACGTTTACTTCTTAATTTAAAATGATTAGCTTCATAAGTATGGCCTCTTCGAAGTCACTGCTCTGTGTTAGCCTTCGAATCTAGAGATAAAAGAAGGTTACAATGAGATCGATCAAATGAGTCGGTTGATAGCTCATGGGCTAAATCTGTTTTGGTATGTTAAGGTAATGGCCACAATATGATCCTTTGGTATTGCTCTTTTGTTTTTACCGCATTGTTGCCCTCTCTTTTGTGTCATTTATGTATTTTGTTGCCTCTTTTAATCATTGCGTGTTTGGACAAGTCAGCACCTCTCTGTTTAGATGATCCCTATATGTACACTCGTTATGTATGTGATATACAGAACATAATAGTTTTTATTTTGAAGTGTTTGTTACACCTACGCATGCGTATTCGCACGCACATTCACTACATACTGTACTTGAAGCGTCTGTTGACTTAAATCGTACATTAAATCACACAGTAGATACATATGATTAAATTGGTGCTTCTGTTATGAATTTGAATGATTAGCATTTGAACAGATCTTTCCCTTGGAGGCCAAGCTTTTATTCTTGGAAAAGGAATATTTGTGGTGACACGAGGTAACTCTGAAGCCACACTCCTACCCTCTTGTTGTGTTTACATCTAAAGAGAGAGTATGTGTTGACCACATGTTAACTGAGTGTGTTTGGTATTAGAGATTACTCTTGAATGTATTTCTGTTCAGAGTCAGTATGATGAGAGGCAGTTGAAATGATGTACTGTATATGAATCCTAGTATTTATCTTGCTGTGTCACAGAACATGGTGAGCATGGTTCACATTAAGGCTACACACACTCGCACAATCCCAAATAATTTAGCCAAATGTTTATTTAAAGTAGCTTTTTATCCGACTTTATGTGATCAGGATTTTTGAGAAATACCGAAATTGCTGATTGTGGTATTAAACATAATAGTAAAAGGGGAGTAGGCGCTGTCTCTCCGAACAAACTTTTTCAGTTGGTCACACCAGCACAGATTTGGTCACATTCTTTGTAAGTTCTACATTTTTTGACCTATTCAAATCGTTCCACTTTCAAATTATTCAGCTTCTCATGTGTTGGTGGCGGCCATTCTGGCCAAAACATTAGGTACACCCCAGATTCTTGTCTATTTGCATCCCCAATGGAGCGACCTTATTGGCCAAAACATAAGGTACATCCTGGATTCTTGTCTGCAGATGATCCCACGTAATGGGCACCCCTGCTTTACAGTTTTGTGTTGAGGATTGCCCCCAATGGGGCAGCCATATAGTCCAAAATATTAGGTATGCCTCTGATTCTTGTATGTCGGCGTCCTGAATGGGGGAGGCATGTTGGCCAAAATATTAGGTACACCCCGGTTTCTTTGTATGTAGGCATCTCCAATAGGCAGCCCATATTGGCCTAGCTTCATTCCTTCCTTTCTCCCAAGTTTGCTTGTTTCCTTTCTTCCTACCTTCCTTCCTCCCTTGGTTCCTTGCTTCCTAGTTTCCTTATTTTTTTTCCTTTTCTTTCTTGTTTCCTGATTTGCTGAAGGCTGTAAATTTCCCCAGTGTGGGACAAATAAAGGATATCTTATCTTATCTTATCTTATTTCTTGTTTTCCTTGTTTACTTGCTTTCTTCCTTCCTTGATTGTGACCTTGCTTTCTTCCTTTGTTCCTTCCACAAATTTCTTTCAATAGAGCGTCAAAGCCGCTTATTCTTAGCGCTACGTTTTTTTCCAAATTCCCAAATAAAAGCCAGCATATTTTTTTTCTTTTCTTCTTCTTCTACCGTCCACATTTTTTGACCAATTCAAACCAATCCAAACTCGATATCTTCTGTTACTCCAGGTCATTGTATATCTTTCTACGTCATTCAATATTCTGTAATTCCATATCAGCTGATATTCCAAATGCTTCCACAAATTTTTGTTTAGCCACTCAGCCTTAACACACAATTTCTCCAGAAATTGCATTCTCTTGTTTGTATTTTATTAATATTAAAATAAATCAATTTTATCTTTCAAATATATTGGCCTTAAAATAAACAAAATAACCATAAAACGTAAAACATTCTGTTTCAGAACTCAAAACCTGTTAGTATAGCTTTGGCACACGAGTTGGTATTGTTGAACAAGTGCAATAGTCACTTTGAGTTAAAAGTGTAAATTGTGTTATACATACATTGTTTTATATATACATTTTATACCTTGTATTTATTTTCAATATTATTAAATTGAATATTTACATATATGTATACATCCATACATATACATATTTATATAATCAAATGTAACAGGCACATTGGGATTCGAACCCAGGTCTGCCGCATGAGCGCGTTATAATATATTTATACATAAAAACATATACATTTAGAATATACCATATTTGAGTGTTTGTGAGCTTTAAACATGTCATGTGCTACATCTTTACCTGTACAACATAAGCGCCATCTGTGCCATTGGGTAATCTTAGGTGTCTTTTTTCATTGAACTCGCAGACAATATCATTGAATAACTCATCTTTGCTAGTCAAAGAAACATTGGCCTGCCTGTAAAAAAATATTTGATACATTTTTATTTAATAGTATAACTTTAAGTCTAGTTACACGTTGTAGACCCACCTACCTTGGAGTTTTCTTCTGAAATTCTTTGTTTTTCTCCTTTTCTGAACGTGCTGCTGTCATCATGACATCGAATACGTCTACACTTTCTGTTTTTGCCACTGTTTCTTGTGTTTTTTCTATACATCTAAATCGAATCGATCTTAGGTCAGGTAAAGTATTTAAAACTTGAAACACTGACATATCCATATCATCAATGTCATAGAATTCACTGTTGGCACATTGACACTGTGCTATTTTCACGTGGTTTATACTTGGCCCGTGGTGTTCATCAAATAGTTCGCTGAATTTTTTCGATACATCAATGGATGCTATTTTCTTAACATTATGGTGCGAGCATGCGACTGTAACACAGAAAACGCGGTTTAAACTGTCGTCGGAGATCGCGGCCGCCGCCATGATTCAATGTTGTTGACAGACGGCAGGGCAAACGACGCACGCGCTCAACGTGAATATCATGAGAGTTTGCACCGATGTAAACCCTCAACACAAAACTGTAAAGCAGGGGTGCCCATTACGTCGATCCTGATCGACCGGTAAATCTTAGACAGGTCCCAAGTGTATCCGAGGGGTGTAGAGGAGAAGAAAAAAAAAACCCCCAACCATTTGTGTGTCTTTGTACATGTTAGTAATATATTTTTTGTGTTAATGTACACTGCACCCTAATCGTCCTATAAGTTTCATTTTCACCAAAAAATATTTAAAAAATAAAATAAAGCAGGTAAATCATTAACCTACGGTGGCACGTGATCTACGTCACCGGAAGTCGTTAGCGTTCAGCAGTCCGCAATTGCAGCTTGTGATCAGAGCTGTTGCGCTTTGTCTTTTATTGTCATTATTCTCATTCAGAGTTTGCTTAGTGTACAATTCACCGAGGGCACAGGCAAAGAATAGGAATCGAGAGGGACAGGGAAGCACTTTAAAACGGTACTTGTGAGCGAGCTAGTTAGATAGCTAACAAGCTGCAAAAGTGCATTGCATGCCTCCACGTCAGGCTGTTTCTCATCTTGGCATGTGTACGCGTGCGTGTGCGCTCGTGCGAGGTAAGGGGTGATCCCGGGAGATTGGTTGATCGAAAAGTCGATCTGAGGTCCAAGAAGTTTGGGCACCCCTAGTGTAGAGGGTTGTTTGAAAAAAAAAAAAAAAAAACTTTACGGTCAGCACTTTCGACGTAGAAATTCTCGGTCGGTCGCGTTACTGGAAACACACTTTTTTTTTTCTCCGCCTTATCATGAAATTAGTGAATTAAGTATAGATAGTTGTTAATTTTGCACTAATTGATTCCTATTTTCTGTCTTTTTTTTTTTTTTACCCTTCATAACTAGACTTCTGAGTGAGGACGGCCACCATGTCGGTGACTGTTCATGAGAATCGGAAATCCCGCACCAGCACAGGATCCATGAACATTTCACTGTTTCACAAGCCATCACACCCTGACAGTGTGTTGACTCATCTAAACACAATGAGGAAACAGTGCATGTTCACAGATATCACGCTGTGGGCTGGGGACCGCTCCTTCCACTGTCACAGGTAAGAAAATTATTGTTGGTTCAAATGTATTTGTTCCTGTTGTATATGTATATGGGTGGTGCTCAAGTATGGTCCAGGAGTGTGACATAAGAGCCCAAAAATGAACTCAAAACCAGATAAAAATGAGAGAGGCTTTAAATCAACCTCCCACCTCCAAATATAATCTTCAATATTTTATTTTTACACTTTAGCAGCTTCACTACATTCACGATAATCAGTTGAAAAACTGGTACAAATGACCAAATATACTTTGAAAATTAACTCTGAATGGTGAGCAATGGCCGTCATATTACATATTACATTCGAGGTTTCCGTGGACACAAGAACTTAACTGTAAATACGAAATGCCTGCAACTGAACTGGGCGGCTTTTACCTGCTGAGTCACACACATGAATACACTGAAAAAATTGTGTATGCAACTAGTGTGAAAAAAATTTATCAATCTATTTCATTGCTTGCGTATTACAAATAAAATTGGACATCACACTGGGCATGTAGCTTACTTGGTTGTCACAGAATAAACAAGAGTTTGTTTTTTTTTTTTTTAAATATGTATTATTAACAAGGTGTTTTACAATGAACCCATTGAACCTACGGTTCTAAATAATTCCGGTTGAAGTACAGTCAAACCTCGGTTTTCGACCATAATCTGTTCCAAAAGGCTGTTCGAAAACCGATTTGTTCGAAAACCGAAACCATGTTTCCCATTATGATCAATGTAAAAATTTTTAATCCGTTTCAAGTCTAGAAAACAACTTTTTTAAAAGCATTTTTTTCAACTTTTTTACACCATAAACTGTATACACGTGTAACAAAAGAGCAGGTAACTAGAAACATTTTGCATGTTTTATTTTTACCAATTTTAACATGAACATTGACATTGTAACATAAAAATTGAAGTAACATCTCTCTATCTCTCTTGCTCTCTCTCTCATCGTGACAATTGTAGATTGCATTCTTTTACACCTTGAATTTATAAACCCTAAAGTAATGGCTGTAACTATGGACGCTCTGTCTGCAATCCTACGCTACGGTATGAGGTAACATCCCTCCATCCATTTTCTGAACCGCTTTATCCACACAAGTCCAGTCTCGTCCATATCAAAAGTTTGCTGGAGAAGGTATTCCTCGAGCTTGATGAGATTTTCAAACTCAACTTTAAACTTTTCAGCAGCTTCCTTGTCTGAACTGGCTCCTCCCCATGACGAATCACTTCTTTTCCTCAACTTTTCGAACCATCCTCTGCTTGCTTTAAAATCAAACACTTCAGGAACAATGCTAGGATCCTTTTTTATCAAATCTCCATACAATTGTCTTGTTTTGCCACAAATCATATCTTGACTAAGACTGTCCCCTGCTAGCTGTTTCTCATTTATGAAAATAAGCAAAAGTTTCTCCACTTCCTCTAATATTTGTGGCCTTTGTTTGCTCAACATACGAGATCCTTTAGCCACAACACTGACTTTATGATGGTCTTTCTTTTTTAGGATGCTGCTGATTTCGGCATGCCGAACTCCTTTGCCAAAACAGACACATGCACACCTGATTCATATTTCACGATCAAATCTTACTTAAATTCAATAGTTTTGCGCACTATTTTCCTCTTTTTTTCACCAGCTTTACTACTTCCACTTGCTTTCTTTTTCCTCTTTTTTTTCACCAGTTTTACTTCCACTTGCTTTCTTTGGTGCCATGCAGAAATAACAGTCCAATTTGCGTAGATCTCAACAAACACGTCTGTTTTTTTAAAACATCTTGATTGAACACGTCTGCTCACAATGGATGCTCAATGGATGCTCTTGTTTTTTTTTTTTAATCTTTTAACACGTCTTCTCACAATGGACGCTCTTTCTTTAAAAAAAAAAAAATCTTTATTGAACATGTCTGCTCACAACAGAGGCGTCACTTCTTCGTCGACCCGAGGAAGCGTCACTTCCTCATGTAAGGAAGTCGAGAGGAGTCGAGTGGCGCATTCAAGTGCGCTCAGTTTGGTCGAGAACCGATTTTCGGTCGTAATCCGAGGCATAAAAAAATTGAAATTTTTGGTCGAAAACCGATTTGGTCGAGAACATAGAAGTTCGAAAACCGAGGTTTGACTTTATACTCTTCATTACAGTTGTAAATTGTGGGAGGCACCTTGTGGACACCAAAGGAAATACGCGTAGCAATTTTTTTCGCCTGACATATCTCTGCAGTATGTTTGTAATATTGTCAGCAGTGAAGTCTGGTCATTAATTGTAAAGGGGAAAAAAATCATGACTCTCAAGGTGCAAGCTTTTCTGCCTAAAAAAAAGAAACAACCCCCCCCCCCAGCAAATTTGAAGAGCTCATTATCAATTCTGATAGACCATGTATTGCAGAATCACACTATTTTGTCATGGACCATTTCATTTTTCTTTTTTTTTTGTTCCCAATACAGTTGTTCTTGTGAAGCAAAATGTGTATAATTCTTTAAAGAAAATATGAGTAATCAGGCCAAAATGCTTTTTCACAGATAATCCTCTTTCACCTGAAGTCGATTGTGGGTTTTTCTATGCATCCTGGACAATCATCCTGGCAGTTGTGACGGAAAGATTTGTTGGTGTACTTGACTGTGGTTTGGTGTAAAAGCACCTCTAATTTTCCACTTTTTTTTAGTGGTTTAAACACAACCAATTGGCATTTTCAAATCGATATCTCTTCATTTTAAACTTTTTTTTTCCATGCAGCAAAATAAGCAGTCTTGATATATTTTTAGCTCTTTAATTAAAGGAACTTAAAAATGTTTTTCAAAGTTATTTACTATTATTTACTATTCGTCATGCCCCTTGACACTGTTCACCTATTCAGAGATGAAAGTCCTCCGGATTTTCCCGGAATTCCGGGTTTTTCACATTTTTATGAAAATCTCTCCGGAGAATTGAGGAAAATTTGCCTAAAATTAATCCGGATGTTAGTTGACAACATTGAACGAAGACGCGTTTGAGTTCGTTGTTTTGCTTTCACGAGCGTAGCCATGTTGAAACACTAACACTAGTAACAGTAGAGATTTTCGTCTCTTTATCAACACATTTGCTAAACCCCAATGGAACGAATAAAAGACACCGTGGACAAGACAGTTGTCGTAAAAAATATATTCGGACAAAAAGGGAAACACACAGATTGGCAGAAAAACGTGTCCGTCCGACTTCGAGTAATTTAAGTTAAACAAGACTGTATAAACATTCACATCTTTTATATTTCTGTTCCTGAAGAGGTTACATTAGCGGACAATTTTCCATCATTGACGGATTTTGTTTTAAGAGTGGACGGGGAAAATTTAAGGCCGTCCGTCATTTTGACGGGTTGAAAATTGAGCCATACACCACAGCAGCAGTACATCCTAAAGAATCGAGTGCGGCACTTGAAGAGAGAGAAGCAGCGAGACCAAAAAGAACAATGACGGCTGGATCATAAAGATATGAAGGCGTTTTTTGAATTGCCATTGCGAGAGTTTAGTACAGTATGTGTTGTGATGACACCGCTTCTGTTTTTTGCGAACCACGGTCTCTCGTGGCCAAAACTATTCACGGCCTCGAAAATCTCTCTCTCTCTCTCTCTCTCTCTCTCTCTCTCTCTCTATATATATATGTGTGTGTGTGTGTATAAATATATGTATATATATGTGTGTATATATATTTGCATATATATGTGTGTATATATATATATATATAAATGTATATATATGTGTATGTATATGTATATATCTATATATACTATATATGTATATGTATATATATATATATGTGTGTATATATGTGTGTGTACATATATACATAAATATATATACACACACATATATATACATATATATACACACATATATATACATATACATATATATATATATATATATATACACACACACACACACATATATATATATATATATATACACACACACACACACATACATACATACA